AAACTCCTGGGCACAAGAGATCCTCTTGCCTCAGCCTCCCAAGCAGTTGGGACTACAGACATACACCATTTGAACACTTTTTCTATTTTTAGTAGAGACAGGGTCTCGCTCTTGCTTGGGCTGGTCTCAGACTCCTGAGCTCAAGTGATCTACCCACTTGTGCCTCCCACCCAGAGTGCTAGGACTATAGGTGTGAGCCACTGTGCCCCACCCAACAAACTGCTTTCTTAAAACACTGTTTTCTCTATTAATTGAAAAATCATAATCTCTGAATTTTAGTCCATACATTTTTTAATTCAACATTTAACTTTCTACTGTTATGATCTAATTATGTGTACATACAGTTCAGATTTTCAGCTGCCACAATTTAAACCACTACAATAGTTTTTATTAAATTAATGGAACCAACCAACATTTTCTAGGCATTGTGATAAGAGTAAGTCTTTGCTCTGGGTTCCAGGAACCTCAGAGAAAAAGTAGCTCAATGTTAACAACCATTCCTAGTTAATATATCTGCTCCTTCTACCTTTCCACACCCAGGTTTTCTAAAATTTTTATTGTGGTAAAATATACATTACCATTTTAACCATTAAGTACATTCCTTTCTGTTTTTATGAATTTAACTATATATATTTTTCTCTCATTTCATTTCCAATCTATTTGCACCTTAGATCTAAAGTGGGTCTCTTGTAGACAGCGTACACATATAATTGGATATTTTAAAAATCCATTTTGTCAATGGAGACTTTACAGCCTTTGTATTAACATGGACGGAAGTGGAACCCATTATTCTCAATAAAGCATCACAAGAATGGAGAAGCATGAATCCTATGTACTCAATTTTGATATAAGGACAATTAATGACAAGGGGAGGGGGTGAGCAGAGAGAGGAAGGAGGAGGGAGTACTGGGGAAGTGATTAGTAGAGAGAGGGAAGGAGGGAGGCGGGTGGGGTCTTGGTGTGTGCCACACCTTTTGGGGGCAAGACATGATTGTAAGAGGGACTTTACCTAACAAATGCAATCAGTGAAACCTGGTTTCTTGTACCCTCAATGAATCCCTAACAATAAATTAAAAAAATAATAAATAAAAAAAAATCCATTTTGTCAGTCTATGCCCTTTGGGGAGTTTAAACCATTTGCACTTCAAGTAATTACTGATAGGAAAGGACTTACTTTTTTCATTTTGTTGTTTCCTTTCTGTATGTCTTACGGCTTTTTTTTTTTTTTTTTTTTTGCCTGTTTCTTTTATTACTGGTTTCCTTTTTCTTTTCTTTCTTTTTTTTGAGACAGTCTCACCACGTCAACCTGGCTAGAATGCTGTGGCATCACAGCTCACAGCAACCTAACTCTTGGGCTTCAATGATTCTCTTGCCTCAGCCTCCCAAGTAGCTGGGACTACAGGTGCCTGCCACAACACCCATTTTGTTGTAATTGTCATTGTTGTTTGGCAGGCCCACGCTGGGTTCAAACCCACCAGCTCTGGTGTATGTGGCTGGTGCCCTTGCCGTGAGCTACAGGCACCAAGTGAGCCAGATTTCCTTTTTCTTTAGATGACTTTTTGTTGTGTCATGTTGTAATTCTTCTCATTTCCTTTTGTGTATATTCTAGATCTTTTCTTTGTGGTTACCACAGGGATTTAAATATAACATCTTAAGGTTATCTAGTTTTACCTTAACATCTTAAGGTAAGTCTAGTTTTTCCTTTTTTTTCCTGTGGTAAAATACACCTATTATTACCTTAACTATTTTTTACAGTGGTATTGAATGTTTAAAATGTTGTGAACCATCACTACTATCTAGTTCTATAATTCTTTCCATTTTGGAAAACTGAAACTCAACACGTATTAAACAATAACTCCTCAAGCCTCCTTACGCCCAGCCCCTGGCAACTATTATTTTTTGTCTCTATGATTTTGACTATGGTAAGTACTTTGTATAAGTGAAATCATACAATATTTTTCCTTTAATGATTGGTTATTTCACCTAGTATAATTCCCAGGGGCCAATCATATTATAGCATGTGTCAGAAATTTCCTTTTTATAGCTAATATTCCATTGTATGTACACGTCATATTGGTTTATCCATTTATCCCACTGATGGACACTTGTCTTGCGTCCATGTTTTAGCAACTGTGATGCTATGAACATGAGTACACAAATATGTGTATACCCTCAAGAACCTGCTTTCAATTATTTAGATTTTATGTATACAGTCATCCTATTAACTGGCTCTAGTTGAATTTATTTTACGTATCTGGGAGCCCGTTTATCAGGTGCATATGTGATTATTATGTCTTCTTCCTAAATTGTTCCCTTTACCATTATATAATGACCATTTTGCCTTTCTTTACCATTGTTGATTTAAAGTCAATTTTATCTGACATGAGAATGGCTTGCTCTCTTATGGCTTCCATTTGCATGAAACATTTTTTTCCATCCTTTCACACTGAGTCCGTGTGTGTGTGTGTGTGTCCTGTGGTTTAGGTTTATCTCCTGGAGACAACAGATATTTGGATTGTGTTTTTTCATCCATTTATCCAGCCTATGTCTTTGGGGTATTCCATTTGAATTATTAATGTTAGGAGACAGAATTGATCTGGTAGGATGCTATTCTGTTCATTATGTTGCATAGGATCTTATTGCTTTGTAATATTGTTTAATAAGAATTGTGAGATTTTACTTTTTGGGTGATTTACACTGGTGGATATCTAATGTGCTGACTCATGTATAATGCAATTTACATATGCTTCTCATAAAGGTTACACCTTCCAGAGCCTGATTTAATAAAAAACTGAGGCTTCTGAGAGTGATAAAAGTCAGGCTCTGTCTCTAAAAAATAAATTAATTAATTAAAACTGAGGCTAAATTCAGGTCCCAAACATAGAAACTTAAAATTTTCTTGAAAACCAATACAAAATTTAGATCTAAATAACCTTAAAAGAAAATCACATAATTTAGTCTAAATCAGATTTTACTTGATTTCTACCACCTATGACAATACAAACTCTTCAGAATTTGCAAGATAGCAAAAGTTGACAATCACCTGAGAACAACTTTATTAAAGACTAGATTATGTCCTAAATCCATCAAGAAAAACCATCTAGGCTCGGCACCTGTAGCTCAAGCGGCTAAGGCACCAGCCATATACACCAGAGCTGGTGGGTTCAAATCTAGACGGGGCCTGCCAAACAACAATGACAACTATAACCAAAAACTAGCCAGGCGTTGTGGCGGGTGTCTGTAGTCCCAGCTCCTTAGGAGGCTGAGGCAAGAGAATCACATAACCAAAGAGTTGGAGGTTGCTGTGAGCTGTGATGTCACAGCACTCTACCCAGGGCGACACTTGAAGCTCTGTCTCAAAAAACAAACAAATAACAACAAATAAAAAACAGAAAAACCATCTAACAAACTTAAAAAGAAGTGGCATAGGCTGGACATGGTGGCTCATGCCTGTAATCCCAGCACTTAGGAAGCCAACGCGGGTAGACTGCCTGAGTTCACAGGTTCAAGACCATCCTGAGACAGAGCAAAACCTCATCTCTAAAAACAGCCAGGCGTTGTGGCAGTAGTCCCAGCTACTTGGAAAGCTGAAGCAAAAGAATCGCTTGAGCCCAAGAGTTTCAGGTTGCTATGAGCTATGACGCCACAGCACTTTACCAAGGGCAACAAAGTAAGACTATCTCAAAAACAAAACAAAATTTAAAAAAATGAAATAGCATACAAAATTGGCACTTGTTATGTCCTGACAAATAAATCAACAGCTCCTGGTCAAATTCCCAATACTCAAGAGAGATTTAGGGTGGCCGGTTCGAACCAGCCCCAGTCAAACTGCAACAAAAAAATAGCTGGGCATTGTGATGGGCACCTGTAGCCCAGCTACTCAGGAGGCTGAAGCAAGAGAATTGCCTACGCCCAAGAGCTGGAGGTTGTTGTCAGCTGTGATGTCATAGCACTCTACCAAGGGTAACAAAATGAGTCTTAAAAAAAAAAAGATAAACAATTATTAATTATTTTCAATGTTGCCTATAAACAGATTTCAGCTGATCCTTAGATGATAAAGTTAAGATGAATGTAACTGCAATCAATTGTTTGGGCCTGGGGTGGGGAGAAGGACTGAAGTAACGTGGGATTGCAAAGGGTGAGAAGTAATCCAATTAATAGTAGTACTGAAAATGTATAATCTTTGGCTCATGCTTGTAATCCTAACACTCTGGGCGGCCAAGGCAGGTGCTGCTCAAGAGTTCCAGACCAGCCTGGGCAAGAGTGAGAACCTGCCTCCTCTAAAATAGAAAAATTAGCCAGGTGCTTGGCACACACCTATAGTCTCAGCTACTTGGAAGCTGAGGCAGAAGGATTGCTTGAATCCAAGAGTTAGAGGTTGCTGTAAGCTATGATGACACCAGGGCGCTTAACCCCAGGGCAACAAAGTAAGACTCTGTCTCAAAAAAAAAATTAAAAAGTGTAATCTTACAACAAAATGAGGCTCGGCGCCTATAGCTCAACCAGCTAAGGCGCCAGCCACGTACACCTAAGGTGGTGGGTTCGAATCCCCAGCCTGGACCCGCCAAACAACAATGATGGCTGCAACCAAAAAATAGCCAGGCGTTGTGGCGGGCGCCTGTGGTCCCAGCTACTTGGGAGGCGGAGGCAGGAGACTCGCTTGAGCCCAGGAGTTGGAGGTTGCTGTGAGCTGTAATGCCATGGCACTCTACCCAGGGGGACAGCTTGAGACTGTCTCAAAAACAAACAAACAACAACAACAACAAAAAAAATGAATACCAATTTTAAAAATCTATGGGCATTTTCTTCCCCCAAACAGGGAACAGAGTCAATGTGGTAAATCTGATTTTGTTCAGGCTGGTCTCGAACTCATGAACTCAGGTAATCTGCCCACCTCGGCCTTCCAGATTGCTAGGATTACAGGCATGAGCCACTGCACCAGGCCTTCCATTAATATTTTAAATTAAAAAACTAATGTAACCTTGCAACAGGCAGCAAATTTAAATTCTTATTAATAACCTCTAGTTCTTATACATTCTGTCCATGGAAAGAGCTACATAATTGTGCCCTTTTAAAAGATGCAAATGACGCTCACCTGGTCTCAATAGCTAGCACCTGCCTTGGGCTGTTGTCTCAGGGAAGGAAATTGAGGATGGTCAGAAAGCCAGCCAATTCCTCATTTCTGCCGCCACGCTCATTCAGCCTAGAGTACCTCTTTTCAACTGGAATAGGCTGGTCCCTAACATTTAAGACTAAACAGTTCACTGGTAAACAAAGCCTATGGCAGCTGAGGAAAGGGGCCTTCAGAGCTGACAAAGAATTGGCCACACCTGCTTCTTCTTATCTCTGTTGTTCTTAAAGAAATTCCTCTAAGGTGAGCCAAAGTCAGTGGCTCATTTTAACCTGGTGGAACTATTCACTGCTCTGAGAGTTTTTAGTCATCTAACCAGATTCTCATAATTCAGCTCTCATCCCACTAGCTCTCAGCCCCTGCTTTGGAAGTTCCTAGGGAAGCAGATGAAACTAATTAGAACAAAGTCCATCAAAGGAAAAAAGCATTTTACCCGCTGTATACAGAGCTCTCACCACAAACGTGGCTAAAACTGTAGAGAAAATATTTCTACCACAGAGGGGTCCACAGTCATTGTCTTCCCCTTTTTAGTTCTCTGCCTCGACACCCTCAACTTGTCTTCACTGTGTTTCTTTTCCCTGAGGCACAAATATTTCTTTTCAGCTTGTTTTTGAGAAAGGCTTATTTTTATGATTTACTCAGCTAATCATAAAATCAAGCTCTGTTGGGATAGAGAATAAAATCAAATAAACAGTCTTCTGAACATCCAGGAAATGGCTGCTGGGCTTTTGGTCTTCATGAAATTCCTGGGGCAGCTGTACTCTCCTATGCTGGGTCCTCTTCATCTACTGCCTCATCACTGTTGTTGGTATTTTTCTTTTGCTCAGCCTCTGGCCCTGCAGGCAGAATGCTGGTGACTGTGTGGAGAAGAGCTTCGATCTGCTCCTCCGTCAGCCGCTCTTCACTCTCTTCCACCATCTGCAGAAGAAAAGAAAAACCTCCAGTGGTTACACAGGAGTATCACAGCCCTGATCCATCCCTACCCTTCCTGACCACATTGTTCAAGGTCTCAGCCCAGCCTCCTGGCATAAAGAGATTAGAGCCTGGGTTCTCAGCCATCCCAGTTCCTCCCCATCTTCCAGACAGAAGGGCAAAGCCAACTCAAATCCTGGTAAACCAACGTGACTGCTCAAAATGGTTCAGTGAAAAAACTGAGAGGCTGGACACCATTTTTCTTTAAAGAACACAGTAACAGTTCTATACTCATCCACATACATATACAGACATCAAGATGTTATGTTGTAAATGCAAAGAAAACTCATCTCTGGCAAGTGAAATGGCATTTTTATAAACTTTTGTATTACACAAAAGCATATCTGTAACTTTAAGAATTGTTATCAACAACTCATTAGATGAATGAATGCCCACTGTGTGCCAAATGGTTTACATCCTTCTAATCCTCACTAACACTAATAACAGCCCTAGAGAGAGGGCCTCCACGTGCCTAGAGCTGCATCCATCTATTACTTCTTAAAACCCTCATGAGAGTTCTGGTAAGGGGCAGAACCGGAACCCCACACCAGGCTGCCTAAGTCTAAAGCCCACAATTCAACACACTCTGTGTGCCCTTGCTCATCTCCCAGGAGCGCAGGAGTCTGAGAAACGTGGGCTAGGACACAATCCCACACTGCCCCTCAATGGTCCACATAAAGAAAGTCTGGTTTCTGGCTTGGCGTCTATGGCTCAACCGGCTAAGGCGCCAGCTACATACACCTGAGCTGGCGGGTTCGAATCCAGCCCGGACCCGCCACACAACAATGATGGCTGCAACCAAAAAATAGCCAGGCGTTGTGGCGGGCGCCTGTGGTCCCAGCTACTTGGGAGGTGGAGGCAGGAGAATTGCTTGAGCCTAGGAGTTGGAGGTTGCTGTGAGCTGTGATGCTACGGTTCTCTACCCAAGGTGACAGCTTGAGGCTCTGTCTCCAAAAAAAAAAAAAAAAAAGTCTGGTTTCTGACACGATCCCAGAAATCTGAATGCAGAGATGACAACTATAATCACCAGGCTCACCTCTAATTCTATCATGTAGTCAGCCACCTTTTTAAGCGCAGTATGCAAGCAGTCAAGTCACCCAAACAGGTTCACTTTTACTTGGTGGCATTAACCATCTATCACCTTTCTCAGCTAAAGGAGTGTGGAGTCTTAGCCTAGAGCATTTCCCATGGCAATCTCTGGAATCTAGCAATGGGACCAAAAGAAGTTCTGAAAGAAATCCTAGCAGATTCAAGTAAAACAGGACAACAGGTTAGGTTTGCAATCCTGAAAAGGACCTCAGTCTGACTACTTTGCTTTATAGATGAAGACAGTACAGAAGTTCAAGAGATCCAGTGACATGTCTAAGATTATACTTCAAACTGCTGACAAAACACTAGTTTCCTATTTCAGCCCCAAAATGTTTCTACAACTAGATGATAATCCTGGGTGTTCCAGCAGAGTCATAATCCTGTGTGAGTCAATGGGGGTCACTTTCCATCATACTGTGAAATAAAATGACCCTTTTCTAAAGATTCAATGGCTCAGTAAAAGGTAAATTTTTACTGAACAAGAAACAGTCCTCAAAAACTCAGTTTTAAAATCAGACATGCAAAGTCAAGATTTGTAAAAAAGCAGTGATCCAACACAGGCTGCTCTCAAAGAATGTAAGAGGAAGAAGGGAAACATCTGAAATTTGATTATTTAATCCAGAGAAGATGATCTCAAGAATATCTACAAGTTTATAAACAATTAGTATATGCAGCTGGTAAACAACTCCCACCAGTCTCTGCACATGCTCCACAGTTTGTGAGGGGAATTGTGGAATCACTGCCACCATAGCTTCTCAAGAGCCCTATACATAATGCCAGGACAATTTACAGATGAGCAAGGAGAGGGTAAATATTCTAAAAAGAACATAATCTCACAGGAAGTAGGGATAAGAATCCCACGCCTTCTATCATTTCCTCTCCCAAAGATGCTGTACAGCAGGCTAGAGTCCACTGGTTTGAGTTGGGCTATATGATTTCTGGGGGCCTTCTTACAAAACCAGAGAGGCCACCTTCATGCACTCCAATCTCTGGGTCTGGCAGTTGCAACACTGATCATGTCAGCTAGATGTATTCTTAACAATAGGTTCTATAATTCAAGGCTTTTTATAATCACTGAATTACTAACAGTCATAGATGGCAGTACAATATATTCAGGAAGTCATGGGGTTCACTGGCCTATTTTGAGGCCAGAACGCTCACAAATTATGCTAAATGAAGACCCAGTTGGGCATGCCAGAAGCCTGCCTCCTTTCCTCCAGACCCCAAGCAGTCAGCAGAGGATCATAACATAGCATAGCTGAGGCATAACTGGAGAGGTAAAGATACCTGGCTCCCAAGCCACAAATGGTGAATGCTAGGGCTGTTTTCTAGACTCAGGGAGAGTAAATGGCTGTGAGGTTAACATGGGGAACTTCTCAAGCGTTTTGCAAGTGCTATTCTTGTGAAACCCTTTTGACCCCTCTCTAGTTAGAGAGGAAATAGTGCTATAAACCTTAGTAAACGATTTTGTAGCCAAATCCCAGGGTGGGAAAAATCTGGCTATAAAATGGTTCAATCTGTCTAAAATGGTCCAATTTTGTATATAAAATTATAGATAGATAGATAGATAGATAGATTTTGGAGACAGAGTCTCATTTTGTCACCCTCGGTAGAGTACAGTGGCGTCACAGTTCACAGCAACCTCAAACTCCTGGGCCCAAGCGATTCTCTCACCTCAGCCTCCCAAGCAACTGGGACTACAGGCGCCCACCACAACGCCCTGCTATTTTTTGGTTGTAACTGTCATTGTTGTTTGGCAGGCCCAGGCTGGTTTCGAACTCGCCAGCTCCCGTGTATGTGGCAGGCACCCTAGCCGCTGAGCTATAGGCATACCTACTTTGTAGAAAGGATAAGAGAACAATCTGAGGGGACACACCACATTATCTTTTTTCTCACCAAGGAAAAGTACAGAGCTTGGAGGAACAAAGTAAAGCTTTTCAATCAGACATACCCAGTCAGCCACTCTTACTAGCTCTCTAGGCGAACATGGGGAGAACACCAGCCCCCTTCCAAGACCGTGGTGAGGACATTAAAAGTTACACAGACAACGACTGGCACCATGACCAATGCCCAAGTCCAGGTCTGGCATATACTAGGCACCCTTAATAGCGGCTAATCTTCCCCAGTAATGATAGAGCTTTCTACAGGCTCTGGGATGAGGTCACACTAATCCTCCTCATCTCTTCTCTCCATCTGTCATTAAGCCACAAATAACATATGCTGCTGATTAAAGTTGGAGGAGACATGACATGTGATCTTTAACCCAGAGGGACAGGCATTAGTTTCTTGCTGTTTTGTTTGTTTTTTTCTCTCCTGAGTTGAATCTCCCGCACAGTGTAAAGCATCAGAAGGATAAAGATATAAAAAAGAAGGATCTCTGTTTAGCATAAAGGCTAGTCAGTTACCCCAGACAGGCACCCATTATGGAAGGAATTTTTCTAATTTAATTTTGGGTGCATTTTGAAGAGCAGAAACAACTTGAAGGAGACAATGATAGTTTTAGTCAAAAATTAAATATTCCAGGACCCTTTAAAAAATTTTTTTATTATCCACTCTAAAGGGCAGAAGTATTTTTGACCAATTTCTTCCACATTTTTCTAAAGGAAATTTGACAAAGAGCTACACATTTCTGAAACTGATTTTAGAAACAGCTTTATTTTCATTTTACTAATTCTCCAAATAAAAGTTAGATAGCCTGCTCAAAATTTGTAACTTTCTGCCCTGTAAAAAAGAAGGAAACTGCCACGGCATGCAAATATGGTGCCCAGTTTATACCCCTGGACCTCATTTTCCCATTCCCCTTACGCCATCTTTGGCTTTCTACTCCAGCTGCCTTCCCCAACTCTAAAGCACTGTGCCATGACTACAATGTGGACATTCACAAATGATAGGGCTCCACAGAGTGATTTTATGCAGGGAAACTAGATGATTCACATCTGTGGTTTAGGCAGTGAACTAGGATAGTGGTGTGGATGGTGGACTGGAGGGGCCACACAGGACACAGAAAGAATGATGAGAGGACAAATGTAAGAACTTTGTGGAGAAATGATGACAGAAATTAAAACAGTACAGTAGAGAGAAAAGAAAGAATACAAAATAGAAGCAACAGAGCTTGGAGACTAAATGTGAGATACAAGAGAATGACTTCCAGGCCTCTGGCTTGGGAGAGCCGGCCAGGAGGGTGAGAGAGGAAGAGAGCATATGGGAAAGTGCACACATGCTTCCTTCACCAAGAAAGGGAGAAAAGAAGAGCAGGGGCAAAGGGTGGGAGTGGGGGGAGATAAGTTCCACCAGAGACATGATGAGTTTAATGTTTTTATGTAACATCTGGTTGGCAACAACCCCTACAGGGAAGCAATGGCCAAAATGGCCTAGGACATCAGGGGAGATGAGAGCTGCCAAGTCACAGGCCCAAACCCAGTGGGAGGAATTAAATTTCCTCCTTTCTTTTCTTTTCCTAAGTCCATACTAACTAGGATCAAACTGGTGAAGTCTCCTTCCTCCAATGGAGTGCTCGAACAGTCTTTAAAAAAAAAAAAGGCAGTTCCTGGCTGGACCATCCATAGCCTTTCTATATCTCAGACCCAGAAAACACCCCCCTCAAGTTCAGGCCTCCTTTACTCACCAGCTGGATCTCAACAGCAGTCATAGGCCTGTGATTCAACAGCTGGAGCTTTTCAGCTCTGTCAAAAGAAAAGTATAAAGCAAGTAAAACTCTCACACCCTGAAGGAGTCTTGACCAAGCTGTTTGGAGAATATTTTGTCAAATAAGAAATATGGGAGGCTGGACACAGTGGCTCACGCCTGTAATCCTAGCACTGTGGGTGGCCAAGGCATGACGATTGCGCGAAGCCAGGAGTTCAAGACCAGTCTGAGTAAAAGCAAGACCTTGTCCTACTAAAAACAGAAAAATTAGCAATGTGTTGTGGTGGCACCTGTAGTCGCAGCTGCTCAGGAGGATGAGGCAGGAGGATCACTTGAGCCCAGGAGTCTGAGGTTGCAGTGAGCTAGGCTGATGCCACTGTACCCCAACTGGA